AGATGGAATCTCATTGTGGTTTTGATTTGCATTTCCCTAATAGCTAGTGATGTTGAGCATCTTTTCATATATTTGTTGGCTATTTGTATGTCTTTTAAGTGTCTGTTCAGGTCCTCTGCCCATTTTTTGATTTGATTGTTTTTTGTTGTTGTTGTTACCGAGTCATATGAGTTCTTTGTATATTTTGGATATTAGTCTCTTATCAGAGGCGTTGCTTGCAAATATATTTTCCCATTGAGATGGTTGTCTCTTTACCTTGTTGACGATTTCTTTTGCTGAGCAAAAGCTCTTTAGTTTGATGTGGTCTCATTCATTTATTTTTGCTTTTACTTCTCTTGCCTTTGAGGTTAAATTCATAAAATCCTCTTTAAGTCCAAGGTCCTTGAGTTTAGTTCCTATGTTTTCTTCTATGCATTTCATTGATTCTGGTTTTATATTCAGGTCCTTCCAATTTTGAGTTAATTTTGGTGTGGAGTGATAGACAATAGTCTAGTTTCATTCTTTTGCAGGTGGCTGTCCAGTTTTCCCAGCACCATTTATTGAAGAGGCTTTCCTTTCTCCACTGTATGTTTTTGGCTTTTTTGTCAAAAATTATTTGCCCATAGAAATATGAACTCTTGATTTTGTTCCACTGGTCCCTGTGTCTGTTTTCTTGCCAATACCATGCTGTTTTGATTACTGTTGCTTTGTACCATAATTTGAAGTCAGACAGAGTGATGCCTCCAGCCTCATTCTTTTTTCTCAGGATGGCTTTGACAATTTGGAGTCTTTCGTTCTTCCATACAAATCTGATGATTTTTTGGTTCCATTTCTTTAAAAATTGCTAATGGGATTTTGATGGGGATTGCATTTAATCTGTATAATGCCTTAGGTAATATGGTCATTTTAACTATTCTGATTCTTCCAATCCAAGAACATGGAATATATCTTCCTCGAATTCTTTTAACAGAGTCTTATAGTTTTCATTAAATAGGTCCTTCACATGTTTCGTTAGTTTTATTTCTAGGTATTTTATTCTTTTTGTTGCAGTTGCAAAAGGAATTATTTTTTCCACTTCTTTTTCTGACACTTTATTATTAGAGTATAGGAACGCTATGCATTTTGAACATGGATTTTGCATCCAGAAACTTTACTGTATTTGTTTATTGTTTCTAGTAGTGTTCTTTTGAAGTCTTTAGGGTTTTCTCTGTAGAGGATCATCATCCGCAAATAGTGACAGTCTGACTTCCTCATTTCCTATTTGGATAGCTTTTATATCTTTATCTTGTCTGTTTACACTTGCTAGGACCTCCAATATTAAATTGAATAACAGTGGTGATAGTAGAAAGCCTTGCCTTGTTCCTGATCTTAGAGGGAAGTTTTTTAGTTTTTCACCATTAAGTATAATGTTGGCTGAGGTTTTGTCATATATGGTCTTTATTATGTTAAGGTATTTTCCTTCTATACCGATTTTGTTAAGTGTTTTCATCATAAATGGATGCTGTATCTTGTTGAAGGCTTTTTCTGCATCTATTGATATGATCATATGATTCTTATTTTTTAATTTATGTGGTGTATTACATTATTCGATTTGCATATGTTGAACCATCCTCGTGCCTCTGGGATGAAACCCACTGGGTCATGGTGCATAATCTTTTTAATATGTTACTGTATTCGATTCACTAGTATCTTATTTAGGACTCTTGCATCTGTGTTCATGAGAGATATTGGTCTGTAGGTTTTTTTTGTGTGTGTTATCTTTATCAGGTTTTGGTGTCAGGGTGATATTGGCCTCATAAAATGAGTTGGGAAGTATTGCCTCCTCTTCGATTTTTTGGAAGAATTTGAGGAGAATAGGTATTAAATCTTTGAATGTATGGTAGAATTCACTGGTGAAGCCATCTGGTCCTGGATTTTTACTTTTTGGTAGGTTTTTGATGATTCTTTCAATTTCCATACTGCTGATCGGTCTATTTAGATTTTGCAGTTTTTGATTCACTCTAGGAAGGTTGTATTTTTTTAAGTACTGGTCCATTTCTTCTAAGTTATTAAATTTGGTGTTATATGCTTTTTCATAGTATTCTTATATGATCCTTGGTATTTCTGCGATGTCAGTCGTAATTTCCCCTTTCATCCCTGATTTTGTTCATTTGTGACCTTTCTCTTTTTT